GGCCCCGACCTCTGTGCGCAGACTCGTGTGTGGACGACAGATGGTTGCACTTCTTCCACTGTTTGGGGTTTAGGGTTTAGGGTTTAGGGTTTAGGGGTTTAGGGGTTTAGGGGTTTAGGGTTTAGGGTTAGGGTTTAGGGTTTGTTGTTACACTTCTTCCAGAGTTTGGGGTTTAGGGTTCCATTGGCATGTCTTACGTTCTCGGTATCGTGTGACCCGATACCTGGTCACTGCATCCTTGCTTTAGGGAGAAGTGTTGGACTTTGAAGGTGTCCAAGTGAAGATTACAGAATCTGCCCTTTCGAAATTCTGGTTCGCTGGATTGGGATGTCCCCTTGTATACTAACAGTCCTTCATAGGGATTATAAGGTACTATCATCCCGATGAAGGACTGCTACCCTAAACCCTAAACCCCAAACCCAAAACACCAAACCCAAAACCCCAAACCCACCACCCAAGACCCAAAACCCTAAACTCTAATTCCAACAGGGGGGGTACTATAATCCCCTTTCAGGACTGTTAGTATAAGTGGGAACATCCCAAGTCTGGATTTTCACGGTGTGCTTAATCGCTTCCACCGCAAGTCCACCCCTGGGAGTGCCACTCGTCCAGAGTTAGGGTTTAGGGTTTAGGATTTAGGGTTTAGGGTTTAGGGTTTAGGGTCTAGGGTCTAGGGTTTAGGGTTTAGGGTTTAGGGTTCATGGTTTTCGGGTTTAGGGCCGGAGGAGTGCATTGCAGCTTTGACAGATCATGCGCCCCCAGCGTCTGCGAACCCTGAACCCTATAAAGCCTCAAAAAAAGGGAGCCCAGAGAGGCCGAGAAGTCTGCAAAGAGCAGGGAGTCTGGAAAAAAACTGAGAGGCTTTGCAAGCAGCAGGAAGCCCGGCTAAGACGGGAGCCTGGCAGCTAAGAGAAAGCACAAGGATGCTACGCGAGAGCTTCAGAAGCTTCAAGCACAGGCCGAGGCAGCTGCGGCAAGATACCGCAGAAAAAGGCAGCTGAGCCTAGTTTCTGGGGGGCTTATGGGCTCTCTCATATTTGGCGGTCGACGAAATAAGGGACCCCTAATACGGACCCCCCAAAAGTGGAGTGTGACGGCAACGACGGGTTTTAATTCACACTTCCTTCTTGCCCTTCTTGGTCGTCTTGACAAGCTGGCAAATTTAATTCCCTTCCCCCTCTTGCCCTTCTTGCCCTTCTTGCCCTTCCTGCCCTTCTTGCCCTTCTTGCACTTCTTGCCCTTCTTGCCCTTCTTGCCCTTCTTGCCCTTCTTGCCCTTCTTGCCCTTCTTGCCCTTCTTGCCCCTCTTGTGGCCAGATGGGGTAAGACGGGGCAATAGGGGGCCAGAGGGGCCAAGAAAGATGGGCAAGACGGGGCAAGACGGGGCAAGACGGGGCAAGACGGGGCAAGACGGGAGTGGGCAAGCGATTTAATTCCACCCATTAGCAAGACGGGCAAGACGGGCAAGACGGGCAAGACGGGCAAGACGGGCAAGACGGGCAAGACGGGCATGAGATTTAAATGTCCCCGTTTGCGGGCGCAATGTAAATAGTCGAATTCCTTTATAAACAGGACCCGATAAGGTCACCCCTTTTTTCGGAACCCCCCCCCCCCTATTCTCCCTTCTTGGGTTTAAGAGATCCTACCTAAACCCTAAACCCTAAACCCTAAACCCTAAACCCTAAACCCTAAACCCTAAACCCTAAACCCTAAACCCGAAACCCTAAACCCTAAACCCTAAAACTACGAAAACTATTAAAACTACTAAAATTACTAAAACTACTAAAACTACTAAAACTACTAAAACTACTAAAACTACTAAAACTACTAAAACTACTAAAACTACTAAAACTACTAAAACTACTAAAACTACTAAAACTACTAAAACTACTAAAACCCTAAAACCCTAAAACCCTAAAACCCTAAAACCCTAAAACCCTAAAACCCTAAACCCCTAAAACCCTAAAACCCTAAAACCCTAAAACCCTAAAACCCTAAAACCCTAAAACCCTAAAACCCTAAAACCCTAAAACCCTAAAGCCCTGAAACCCCAAAACCCTAACCCTGAAACCTAAACCCTGAAACCGTAGCCCTAAACCCAAAAACCCTAAAGACTAAACCCTAGACACCCAAACAACGTGTAAGGTCCAAAGGCGTGCCCCGTGCCCCCCCAAAAGCTTGGCCTTAAATCATGTGAACGCCCAACTTCTAGATTAGTTTTGGGGTTCAGGGTTTAGGCTAGGTTTTAGGTGGGGACGTTTACAAAGACGAGCGCGAAGCGCGATTTATGAGTCCTTACCATGCTCAGTTTAGAATCGCGATCAACATGCGTGTAAATGATTCAGCCCCCGAAGCCCTGAACCGACGGTGCTTTAGGATAGGACGCCCTAAACCCTAAACCCTAAACCCTAAACCCTAAACCCTAAACCCTAAACCCTAAACCCTAAACCCTAAACCCTAAACCCTAAACCCTAAACCCTTAAACCTAAACCCTAAACCCTAAACCCTAAACCCTAAACCCTAAACCCTAAACCCTAAACCCTAAACCCTAAACCCTAAACCCTAAACCCTAAACCCTAAAACCTAAACACTAAACCCTAAACCCTAAACCCTAAACCCTAAACCCTAAACCCTAAACCCTAAACCCTAAACCCTAAACCCTAAACCCCAAACCCTAAACCCTAAACCCTAAACCCTAAACCCTAAACCCTAAACCCTAAAACCCAAACCCCGCACCCTAAACCCCTTAGCCCTAGATGGAACCACTGGGAGGATGGCCGGCCACATCTCGTGGTGCCCTTCCCCTCACCGGCTTGGCCCTTCGGCTCTGAACTCTAAGTAGTTAGGGTTTAGGGTTTAGGGTTTAGGGTTTAGGGTTTAGGGTTTAGGGTTTAGGGTTTAGGGTTTAGGGTTTAGGGTTTAGGGTCTAGGGTTTAGGGTTTAGGGTTTAGGGTTTAGGGTTTAGGGTTTAGGGTTTAGGGTTTAGGGTTTAGGGTTTAGGGTTTAAGGTTGTTGTTTTAGGGGGGTACGTTCTTCTGAGATAGCTTTGTAAGGTGGGTTGGAGCCTTCGGTGCTAACCGAAAAGCCCCAAGCCTTGGAGTGCTAAGCCTCCCATCAGCCTAACACAAGGAGCCCACCTCATTTTCAAAGTTACCCCCAAGCCCTAAGCCCTAAACCCTAAACCAGAAACCCTAAACCCTAAACCCTAAACTCTTATAACCTGTTACCTGCAAATATGATGGACTCCTAAACCCTCAACCCTAAACCCTAAACCCTAAGCCCTAAGCCCTAAATCCTAAACCCTAAACCGTAAACCGCAAACCCGAAGCCCTAAGCCCAAAGTCCTAAGCCCTAAACCCTAAACGCCAAGCCCCAAGCCCCAAACCTCAAACCCCAAACCCCAAACCCTAAACCCCAACCCCATGCCCTAAGCCCAAACCCCAAACCCTAAACCCCAAACCCCAAACCCTAAACCCTAAACCCCAAACCCCAAACCTTAAAACCTAAACCCTAAACCCTAAACCCCAAACCCTAAACCCCAAATCCTAAACCCCAAACCCGAAACCCTAAACCCTAAACCCCAAACCCCAAACCCTAAACCCTAAACCCCAAGCCCCAAACCCTAAACCCTAAACCCTACTCGCCATCGCCAGAGGTCCATCGACGTGTTCTCCGCCGTCATGCCCCAGTTGCTGCGCAAGCCTCGGGGGGGTGGGTTTAGGGTTTAGGGTTTAGGGTTTAGGGTTTAGGGTTTAGGGTTTAGGGTTTAGGGTTTAGGGTTTAGGGCTTAGGGTTTAGGGTTTAGGGTTATGTTTTAGGGTTTGGGGTTTAGGGTTTGGGGTTTAGGGTGGCTTCATATAGGGGTCGCCAGAACCCTTTTCTAAGTGTTAAGGCCCCGAGATTGGAGGTTTAGTGTTGAGGGTTTGGCGGTTTGAAGTTTCAGGCTTGGGGCTTAGAGTTGACAAGGCCTAAACCCTAAACCCTAAACCCTAAGCCCTAAACCCCAAACCCCAAACCCCAAACCCCAAACCCCAAACCCCAAACCCCAAACCCCAAACCCCAAACCCTAGACCCTAGACCCTAAACCCTAAACCCTAAACCCTAAACCCCTAAACCCTAAACCCTGAACCCTAAACCCTAAACCCTAAAACCCTAAACCCTATAAACCTGTTTAAGCTCTTGATGTTTTCAGGGCTAGGAGTGAGGGCCTCGGGCACTTCGGCGTTGAGGGTCTAGGGCATCAAGGACTTGGGAGATGGGGGCTTTTGAGAGTCTGCCCCCTGGATCTTAGTAGGGAATGAGGGCATTAGGGCCCTATATATATATATATACATATATATACATATATATATATATCTATATCTATATTCTCTTGAATATAAATAAGCACATAAATAAATAAACAAATAAATAAATATAAATAAATAAATAAATATATATATATATATCTGCCATTTAAGGGATTTTAAAGGGTACTCATGAGGGTGTGAGTGTTGAGGGATTCGGGGTTTCGGGGTTTTTGGGCTTTGGGGTTTCCATGCCGGGTTGGGATGTTTCGGGGTCTTAGAGGGGTCCAAGGCCTCAGACATCCACCCCTAAACCCTAAACCCTAAACCCTAAACCCTAAACCCTAAACCCTAAACCCTAAACCCTAAACCCTAAACCCTAAACCCTAAACCCCAAATCGGCGAGAGTTTCGCACATTGGCCATGTGTTAGTCCTGACTTCATCTGGGTCCGCCGCCCTCAGAGATTGTGATCATCAGTCGACTGCCATTCAGAAGTCGAGACTTGATCTAAATTCCACCCATGGGTTTGAACCTGGGTTTGAACCTAGGTCCAAACCTGGGTTTTAAACCTGGGTTTAAACCTGGGTTGAACCCAGGTTCGAATTGAACCTGGGTTAAATCCGGGTTGGGCGGGACCATCCTCCCAGCACTGCGGCCAGCTCAGCTGCCCAGGTCCAAGGTCCCAATCCAGCAGCCAGGCTGGCAGCTTCGAGATGCACATGTGCGAGCTGCCCAGGTCCAAGGTCTCAATCCAGTAGCCAGGCTGGCAGGACTCCCAGGTCAGGTGCACAGGCGCAAGGTGCCCAGGTCTGAGATCCCAATCCAGCAGCAATGCTTGCGCAGACGCAAGTCGGCCCTTATGGACCCCAAGACCCTGTACACCTTGTAGGGTTTAGGGTTTTCAGGGTTTAGGGTTACCCCCCCCCCCCCAAAAGCAACCCGAAACCGCCCCCCCATAACCCAAAATGTTGACTGGCGGCTTGAGTTTTCTTGCCGCAAGGCGTTTGAACAGTTCCGAAACCCTAAACCCTAAGCCCGAAGCCCTAAGCCCTAAGCCCTAAGCCCTAAGCCCTGAGCCCTAAGCCGTAAACCCTAAACCCAAGAGGCATAGAGACAGAGAGCCTCAGGGAGCCTCATCGGGATTGTTGGGGGGGCATTCGGGGAAATTGGGTTACGCACACCCCTCCCGAACGCCACTTGTTTAGTTCTCTGAATTCTCGTTTGGGGTCCTTCTTCTTAAGGGTACTACACAGATCCAAAAAGGGACCCGAATTTAGAACTGCCGAAGTATCTTCCCTTTGCCTTAAGGCGAGGTTCCCTCCATGAAACTCAGCAACCGCGGGCTCCTGGGGCAACAGGAAGCCCTCCAGCCTAGGCCAACAAGCCCCAAACCTCCCATGCAAGCCCCAAAGCTGTTTAGGGTTGAGGGTTTAGGGTTTAGGGTTTAGGGTTTGGGGTTTAGGGTTTAGGGTTTAAGCCTCAAAGCTCCAAGGTCTTCCTTCCTCCTCATCTCCTTGACGTATTCGGTGCCTCGGCAAGTGTTGACGCGAACCTGGCCACTCAAAATATGACGTAAAAGGTTTCGGTGCATACCCCAAACCTTCAACCAAACCCTGAGCCCTGAAGAAGGGGATGGAGGTTAGGGTATGAAAGCACGGTGAGAGTCAGATCATCTGAAGGTGTATAGGTTAGGGTTTGGGGTTTGGGGTTTGGGGTTTGGGGTTTGGGGTTTGGGGTTTGGGGTTTGGGGTTTGGGGTTTGGGGTTTGGGGTTTGGGGTTTGGGGTTTGGGGTTTGGGGTTTGGGGTTTGGGGTTTGGGGTTTGGGGTTTAGGGTTTAGGGTTTAGTTCAGGGTTTAGGGTTAGGGTTCAGGGGATTAGATTTGGGAGCTTTTCCGGTGTTGAGGCAAAGGTCTGGCATGTTGCGACCTGCACGAGTATTCTCAGCCGATTTTTTTTGTTTGAGTTGGCTATGGGGTGTGAGATCTAGGGTTCCAGGGGGTCATACAGTTGGCTTGGGTTTACAGGGACTTTGGGTTGAGCCCAATAAATCTGGAAGCCCTACTTTTGCCCAGCCTCGGAAGGCCTGAAGCAGCTTAACTGCACTAGCTCCCAAACCCCCTGAAACTCCAAACTGAACCCTCCAACCTTACTTCCAAACGCTAATCCCTAAGCCCTAAACCCTAAACCCCAAGCCTAAACCCTAAACCCTAAACCCTAAATCCTAAAGCCTCGACCCTAAACCCTAAACCCTGAACCCGAAACCCTTTAAAACGCCCTCAAGCAGAGGTCAATCGGATGGTGACCAGCGTCGTGCACGAGCGCGAAGCGCGGCTACGAGATGGCATGCGGATGATGGGCGACCTGGCAGGGGTTTCTGAGCTAGGGTTTAGGGTTTAGGGTTTAGGGTTTAGGGTTTAGGGTTCAGGGTTCAGGGTTTAGGGTTTCGGGTTTAGGGTTTAGGGTTTAGGGTTCAGGGCTTAGGGCTTAGGGCTTAGGGTTTGGTGCAGTTTAGGGTCGAATTCGGGCTGAGGAACATGTAGGGATGAGGGCTTAGGGAAATGTAAGGCGGTTTTTTTTTTTTTGGGGGGGGGGGGGGGGCAGAAGGGGACTTCGGCTACCTAAACTGCCTAAGCTACCCGCAGCTTGCCAAACCCTAAGCTCTAACCCCCAAACTAAACCCAAAGCCCGTGTGACCCTGACCCGATCCAGCTTTTCGTAGTCTTAAGCACAAGGCTGCCTAAAACGAAAGCCCGAATCCTTAAAACCCTAAATGAAGCTCTAAGCCCCAACACTAACCCCGAACCAACGTCACAGCCCTAGACCCTGACGCCCGAAGTCACTAAAACTCTAGACACTGAGACTCTACACCCCTCATGCCTTAACCCACTACAAACCCCAAACCAAAAACGACCCTAAACCCCCAAAGCCTCAAAGCCTGGAGCCTTAAACCCCTAAGCCCTAAAACCGTAAACGGGCTCCCTCAACCCTAAGCCCCAAACCCTAAATCCAAAACCCTAAACCCTAAGCCCTAAACCCTAAACCCTAAACCCCCATCCCTAAACCTAAACCCTAACCCTAAACCCTAAACCCTAAACCTAAACCCTAAACCCTAAACCCTAAACCCTAAACCCTAAACCCTAAACCCTAAACCCTAAACCCTAAACCCTAAACCCTAAACCCTAAACCCTAAACCCTAAACCCTAAACCCCACACCCTAAACCCTAATCTAGACCACACCAAGGAATGCACCCCGCAGCCTTCTATGTGTCCTGGGCGCTGACCTACGCAGGGGGCCCCAAGTGGCGGCAGTGTGGGCTTGGGGTTTAGGGTTTAGGGTTTAGGGTTTAGGGTTTAGGGTTTAGGGTTTAGGGTTTAGGGTTTAGCTTTTAGGGTTTACGGTTTAGGGTTTTGGGGCGTGAACCCTAGACTAGACCCTAATCCCTAAACTGGCGAGAACGCCGCAATTCAAAGAAGAATAACAAGAAGTCTCCCTTGCAAGGGGGGCTTTGGGAGGCAAAGCCCTAAACCCTTGCGAGAATAGTTCGGGTGGGGGGGGGGTGGGGCTACTAAGCTATGTGAGCGCGCGATAGGGAGTGCGCCCCGAAGTCTAAAGAGAAGGCGCACTCCCCTCGCGCGTACACTGATACACCCTAAACCCGAAACCCGAAGCCTAAACCCCAAACCCTAAACCCTGAGCCCTTCTCCCAGGGCCTTCAAATTCTGATGCTACTTCCGGTTGGTGGGGCTTCGGCTAGCTTTATCTCCACGTTTGCACAAGAAACCCTTATGACCCCCGAACCTTGATTAAAACTTCAGAGACCCTTCTTAGAGGACCCTTTAGGGTTTAGGGTTTAGGGTTTGGGGTTCAGGGTTTCGGGTTTAGGGTTTAGGGGTTAGTTAGGGTTATCCCCAACACATGGGAAGAGAGCCTTCCCAAGCGATGTGGAGGTGATCCTCTACCTCTTCGTGGTCACCGGAGTGGTCGTGATTCTGGTTGCTGGCAAGGCTGTGTGAGTGCAGGGTTTAGGGTTTAGGGTTTTGGCTTTAGGGTTTAGGGTTCAGGGTTTAGGGTTCAGGGCTTAGGGTTTAGGGTTTAGGGTTCAGGGTGTAGGGTTCAGGGTTTAGGGTTAGGGTTTAGGGTTTAGGGTTTAGGGTTTAGGGTTTAGGGCTTAGGGTTTAGGGTTTAGGGTTTAGGGTTTAGGGCTTAGGGCTTAGGGTTTAGGGTTACAGGGCGCAGGTCGTGGCATGAGGCTGATGAAGTCCTAGCTCCCATCGACTGAGGGCTGCCCAGACAAGATGATACAGCCCAAAACCCCGCAACCCCCAAACCCTAAGGCTTAGGGCCTTTAGGGTTTGGGGTTTAGGGCTTAAGGTTTAGGGTTTGAGGTTTTGGGGTCTAGGGTCTATGATTTACGGGTCCGGGTTTTCAACCCCTACGCCCCAAAGCCCTAAACCCTAAATTCTGCATCGGCTTTCACCAGATTTGCCATTATCCGTCACAGCAAGAATAGCAACACAAACCGTATCATCGTAGACGTGAGTCATAGCAAAACTTGAGGATTTTCGGGCCTTACCCGGCTCTTTGGGCGCAGGATTCGGTGGCTGTTGGGACGTTCTGCCCCAGATCATATATAGCTCCGTTATCCATTTTTGCCACCCTCTAAATCCGGAGAAAAACCCCTAAGTCCGGGCAAAGCCCTACAACCCCCATGAAGCCCGAAAAAGCTAATGTCACTCGCCACTCTGTGCCCGAAACTCCGTAGTTCGTCCCGGGCAGATCCTCCCGCGAAGCAGCCCGTCGCTGCTCTTCTGCTGGTTCATGCAGCTTGGACATGTGTTTTGGTTTAGGGTTTAGGGTTTAGGGTTGAGGGTTGAGGGGGGTTCAGGGTTCAGGGTATGTGCAGGGGTTACAGATTATCCCTAGACCCTAAGCGCTGGATGGACACGCCGTAAACCCTAAACCCTAAAACTCCAAACCCTAAACCCTAAACCCTTCGACACCCGACTTGCCTCCCGCGTTTAGGACTTATGGTTCCAGCGGGGCAGAGCTGAAGAAAAGCTAGGATTCCCGGGTTTAGGGTTTAGGGTTTGGGGTTTAGGGTTTAGGGTTTAGGGTTTAGGGTTTAGGGTTTAGGTTCCCGAGCACGAAGACACGAGCCACAAGCCTGAGCCCCCCATGCAACCCTAAACTCAAGAGGGTTGAGGGTGGAGGGTTTGGGGTTTAGGGTTGAAGGCTTGGGGTTGAGGGTTTAGGGTTTGGGTAGAGGGTCTGGGGGTTTGGGGTTTAGGGTTTAAGGTTTAGCGCTCAGCCCTTAGGGTTGGGTCTGTTCTTTTTTCAAGGTTTAGGGTTTAGGGTTTAGGGTTTAGGGTTTAGGGTTTAGGGTTTAGGGTTTAGGGTTTAGGGTTTAGGGTTTAGCAGTTGAAGCGTTCAGGCTTTTTGCGGCTGCCGCCATCGCCTACGGGCTGCTCATCACCAGCTTCTTCACCAGGGCCCCTTTGACACTCTTGGGGGGGGGGGGGGGGGGGGGCGGGTTTGGGGTTGGGGTTTGGGGTTGGGTGGGTTGGGGTTTGGGGTTTGGGGTGTGGGGTTTGGGGTTTGCGGTTTGGGGTTTGGGGTTTGGGGTTTGGGGTTTGGGGTTTGGGGTTTGGGGTTTGAGGTTTGGGGTTTAGGGTTTAGAATTTAGGGTTTAGGGTTTAGGGCTTAGGGTTTAGGGTTTAGGATTCAGGGTTTAGGGTTTAGGGGGTTTAGGGGGTTTAGGGGGTTTAGGGGGTTTGGGGAGGTTGGGGGGTAGGGGGGTTAATTAGGGGAATTGCGGCACCTTGCTCCCCGAGGCCCTGAACAGCCTAAACGCCCTAAGCACCCTGAACCCTAAACCCTAAACCCTGAACCCTAAACGCCTGAAGCCCCGATCCCCTTCTCGCCACAAGGCGAAGACGGCTGCCACAGTGGGCTCCATCCTGTTCTACACCACGAGCGGCCCGTCCTCGTTTGGCTTAGGAACCCTAACCCGTAAACCCTAAACCCTTAGCCCTGAACCCTAAACCGCCTAAACCGCCTAAACCGCCTAAACCGCCTAAACCGCCTAAACCGCCTAAACCGCCTAAACCGCCTAAACCCCCTAAACCCCCTAAACCCCCTAAACCCCCTAAACCCCCTAAACCCTAAACCCTAAACCCTCGCGGCCTTTCACTCCAGGGGTGCAAAGGACAGTCCGGACATCCACGTTGCCTAGGATCTATGAGGGCGCAAAAAGCACTGCGATGGCAGGGAGCCGGGTCACTAGCCCTTTAATTCCCGGCGGCCCTAAACCCGAAACCCTAAACTCAAAAACCCTAAACCCCAAGCCTGAAGCCCCAACCCTAAACCCTAAATCCAGAGACAGCAGCCTTGTTTAGTAGACCTGGGCTATTAGGCATTTTTGCTAGTCTCAGTGCTAGTCTTGCGTTTGCAGGGTTCGCTATGATCTGACCCTGGGGGCCCCAAAGCCACAAACCCAAGCTTAGAACCCTAAAGCCCAAAACCTAACCCTTGAACCCTCCCTTAGCGGGTATATATAGGGCCCAAGTAAACCCTAAACCCCTATATAAGCCCCCAACCCTCAACCCTCAACCCTAAACCCTAGAACTTAAACTCTAAACCAAAGGCTTCATAGCCCCCTTCATCTTGTCAAGAGAGCCCTCCAAGGTTACCTCAAGCACCTGGCAACGCCGGGCACGCCGACCGCCACGCTGCGGGCCCTGTCGCTGCTTCCCCCGGCGCCGCGGCTCCAGAGAAGCTTGGGGGGTGGCGGGGGGTTTAGGGTTTAGGGTTTAGGGTTTCGGGTTTAGGGTTTAGGGTTTAGGATTTGAAGATTTTGGATTTAGGGTTTGAAGATTTATAGTTTAGGGTTTGGGGTTTACCCTACCCCTGTACTCAACGCCATAACCCCTAAACCCAAACAGCTCTAGACCCTAAACCTCAAACCCTAAACCCTAAACCCTTGACCCTAAACCCTAAACCCTAAAGCCTAAACCCTAAACACCCTAAAGCCCCAAGAAGCTTTTGGTGAAGGTGGCCTTCGAGCTGGGTGCAGACCTCGTGGCCGCCATGGAGAGCCAGCAGGCACGCTGCTGCCGCTTTTGGTTTAGGGTTTAGGGTTTAGGGTTTAGGGTTTAGGGTTTAGGGTTTAGGGTTTAGGGTTTAGGGTTTAGGGTTTAGGGTTTAGGGTTTAGGGTTTAGGGTTTAGGGTTTAGGGTTTAGGGTTTAGGGTTTCGGGTTAGGGTTTAGGGTTTAGGGTTTAGGGTTTAGGGTTTAGGGTTTAGGGTTTAGGGTTTAGGGTTTAGGGTTTAGGGTTTAGGGTTTAGGGTTTAGGGTTTAGGGTTTAGGGTTTAGGGTTTAGAGTAAGTACAAACCCTTGTGCGAGGGTAGTCCTTTGCCTCCCTGCGCAGGGAGTTCAATGTGACATTCATGGCCTGTGACTGTTTCTGAGTTTGTTGCTCAACCCTAAGACCCAAGCCCGAAATGCCCGACTGAGCCCCGCACCCTTAACCCTATCAACCTACCGAAACATAAACTTATACCCCAAACCTTGACACGCCTAAACCCTCCTCCCCTCCGGAGCTTCTTTTCAGGTGGGCGCTACTTGGTCGAACGCCTCCTGGCAACAACGGAATGAGGGCTCCTCCCACCTCCCCCTCCCCCTGCCATGCCAGTACCAAAGCTCAACGCTCTTCTCCCTTACTCGCCTCCCCCCTCAAAAGAGGAGTGGGTGCAGGTTCCGTGCTTAGGCCGAGCACCTCATCCTCAATACTTGCAGAATGATGGAAACGGTTCTGTTTTCCGATATGTACAAGGGCACAGCCGATCTTTTTCCAGCCTTTAGGATACAAATAGCTAGCGGCGAAGAGGGCCCTAAGCCCGGGCCCCAACCCCGCCCCCCCCTCCCCTCCCTAAAGCTTTAGGGGCGCTTTGCAAATCCCAAAACCTGTCAGGGTTCAGGGTTTCGGGGCCTAAACCTGCAAGGGCCGATGCACCCTTCATCTGGAGGTCGTTGACAAGGGTTGCGGGCACTTCCCAAACCCAAGCCCTAAACCCTCACCCTCAACCTCAACCCTCAGCCCTAAACCCTAAACCCTAAACCCTAAACCCTAAACCCTAAAACCCTAAACCCTAAACCCCTAAACCCATCAACCCAACCTCAACCTCAACCCTCAACCCTCAACCCTAACCTCAACCTCATCACCCTCAACCCTCAGCCCTAATCCCTAAACCCTAAACCCGGAGTGCGTGCGCCCAGTCGCCTCGACGTATCATAACTTTTCAGCCTGCTGGAGACCGTAGGGGCAAAGGGGCAGAGCGGTTCTGGGCTTGGGGGGTGTAGGGTTTAGGTTTGATGGTCTAGGTTTAGGGTTTAGGGATGGGGGTTCGGGTTTAGGGTTATATAAGGGTGGGAGTCCTCGGCCTGCAGTTCGAAACTAGGCTTCAGTTTTTTTTTTTTTTTTTTGGGGGGGGGGGGGGGGTTGGGGATTTGTTTCTTCTTTTCGTTTTTCGGTCTTAAAGCCTTGAACCCTAGACCCGAAGCCTTAAGCCCAGACAAGTGGGATGTTCCCCTTCTACTAACGGTCCTTGATATCTTATGACCCCTATTCAGGGCTGTTGGTATATGGGGGATATGCCAACCCTAAACCCTAAACCCTGAGCCCTAAACCCTAAACCCTAAACCCTAAACCCTAAACCCTAAACCCTAAACCCTAAACCCTAAACCCTAAACCCTAAACCTCTCCTACCATATATATTTAAATGTTAAACCCCTTCGTGGATTTATTTGGGCACAAACCTTCGTGGATTTGGGCACAAACCTTCGTGGATTTGGGCACAAACCTTCGTGGATTTGGGCACAAACCGGCCTCGAAGGGCCAGGGTTCAGGTTTTTCACTGGTTTTCGCCGGCGTCGGGGGGCCAGGGTTCAGGTTTTTCAACGGTTTTGTGCCCAAATCCACGAAGGTTTGTGCCCAAATCCACGAAGGTTTGTGCC